GAGTCTGCTCTCGATTTAGATCTGGACTCCGAAAAACCATCCACGCTAGAGGAGAAGAGGAGCCGCCCCGAAGTTATCGAAAATCACGCTGGAGAGCTCGTAAAGTTATTACTTATATCTTGATTAATTGGACGATATGTTTTGAATTTAGTGGCCCAAAGCTCACTTTCAATTGAATAACAAAATTAAAATAGGCCAATATTGTTACTTATATCTTGATTAATTGGACACTATGTTTTGAATTCATAAATTCAAATGTTAGACAAATATTATGGCCATATACTTAATTAATAAAAATAATAGTTACACACTCAAAAAAATTATCATATTCCAACAAAAAATCTACTATAATATATTCAAGTGGATATTCCAATAGTATAGCTTCCGTTGTAATAATTCTAACGAAAATTCCAATGAACATATTCCACTGGAATAAGTTTTCTATTAGAATTTTAGTTGGAAGTTAATGATTCCAACGACACAATTTTTTTACTATAGAAATTTCTATTGGAATATGCAATTTCCGTTAGAACTTTTAATTCCACCCCGTTGAAAAATCTACCGTTGGAATCGTTAAAATCCAACGAGAATTTCAATGTAAAACTCATTCCAACGAAATATTTTATTGGAATTTTCCTTGGAACATTCTATATGTTGCGTGTATAGGCAATATATTTTCATTATATGTTTTCATCGGCCCGAAGTTTGAGATGATATAGATGAGTTCCGAAGATCGGGCTCGTGGAGATGTCGACAGTATATGTTGCGTGTATAGGCAATATTTTTCATTATATGTTTTCATTGGCCCATGCTTCATATGTTTCTCATCAGGCTTGTGCTTTATTTGCTTTTATTCAATTGATATGCTTCTGATTCTTTGTTTTTGTCAGAAGATTTTGGGTTTTATTTGGATCACCTATTGTGATCTATGGCGGTTTTTAGTTTGATGTATTTAATCATTGTCATTTACCTTATGCATCTTGTTTTTCATCGATGGTGTGTTCTACTGTTTGTTTCCCACACACCTCGACTGTTATGAGTAGTTCATGATATGTATATAAAATCATAATTTCATTATGGGTATGTTAAGATGTATAGTTTTTTCGTTGCAGTTACTATGTTTATTCTTTTTCATTCATGAACTCATTTTTATTCAATTGATTGATTTTTTTTTTTCAAGCTACTGACCTTTGTATTTGTAGCATATACTCTACATATATTAGAATAATTTATTGAAAATAATATATATTGAACGGAAATTCAAACATTACAATTGTCGTTAGATAAAAATGCTATGTAATAAAAAACGCAGCATATACTGAATAAGTGAAGATATTGACTATAAATGCAATATACTTAACCAAAATTAAAACTCAAAATAGTGGTTAGATAAATATATTAAGTAAATAAAAATACGCATCAGGTTATATACTGAATATATACTGACTATAAACGCAATATATACTGCCCACCCACAAACACATGATAGTTGAAAATCTCATTATATGCACAATTTAAGGGGATGCGGTTACATTTTATTTGGTAATGAAAATCCTACTGGTACATCTTTGCAGTGAATTAGCATTTAATTTGTAAAGATACAAATAAAGTTTACCTCATGGTAAAATTCTATTTTTTTTTTTTTTTTCCAAATAACGTGGTATACATTAAAATTATTGGCATGGTTTGTTTAATGGGCTAAAGATAACAAAAAAATCTGATTTAAATAAACCAAACACAAGCGTATTAGGCCAATACTGGAAGCCCTTCCCCAGCCCGTTGGTTACTTAACCAGTCAAGAAACAAGCTCCAAATGTAGAAAAATAAAAAATATGCAACTGAAAATAATTATTTGTAGATTGTTTGGTATTTTAATTGTTGTAGGTCTAGACCTTATTGGTCCTTTGAGGGGAGGTTCAACCTTCCCCGGTTCCTGTTGTAATCCTTAGATTTTTCAGGAGTGCAATCTTTTGATTGCTCGATTGTACTAGTACTTTTTTTTATGAGTTAAGTTTCTTGTTTGCCTTGGAAAAAAAAAAAAATAATTATTTGTATACATACCCGATCTCTCAAATTTTAACTTAACATTTTTCAAAATAATTATTAAGGTAGTTACATGTAATTGATAACTACCCCAATTTAATGGGATTTATTCTCTCTCTCTCTCTCTCTCTCTCTCTCTCTCTCTCTCTCTCTCCTTCTACAATTCTATGCTTAATTTTTTCTCTTCCCTTATAACTGAATATTTTCTCTTTCTTTTTTCTTTCGATCGGTCGAGTATTGAAGATGGGTCGAGGTTTATCGGATCGAGTATTGAAGTCGGGTCATCCATACTCGATTCATCATCATCTGACAGATGTGTCCTCGAGTTTCTCTGGGCCCCGATTGCGAAATAGTGTTGGATCTGTTACCGTGTTTGGCGGTTAGAAAATCACTATTATACCACCGTTTCATTATAATGAAATCATGTATATTTTTATTTCTTGCGTTTTATTTTTGAATTTAATCACTTGAGTTGAAGATGCGGTGGCTTCTTTTTTCGATCCATGCAGTTGTTTTTTAGAGTCAACGATGGACTCTGACAGTTGCGCGTCCCCCCCCCCCCCCNNCAGCGGGGAGGTCAAGTTTGAGATGACATAGACGAGAAGCTCAGACTCGTGGAGATGTCGGCAGTATATAATAGAATTATACAGTTGTACATTTATGCTTTATAGTATTGTACTTATAGTCTTTTCCTTGTAGTTCTTTTTATTTGTAAAAGTGTCATTAGTATTTAACACTTCTAGTTATTTTATCACATGTATATAAAGGGTTTGCTAACCCTAAAACAATGTGTAACTTTCATTTTTCTCATTCTTCAATTTCAATCGCCGCTTTCTCTTTCTCTTTCTCTTTCTATTCTTTCTCTTTTCTTCTACTTCTTCTCTGAATCTGAATCGATAATCTGTTATGGTATCATTCGCCAGTAGATCTTGATATTTTCGCTGCATCTGTATTCGTTTTTATCCGATCTCTCTCTGTTTCTCATCTCGATCGATATGTCTATCACTACGAATCCTTCCGACGACCCTACATTGCTGTTCTTCCTGCATCCAAGCGACAATCTTGGTGCTCTCATGAGCTTTTCAATGGGGAGAACTATGTGTCGTGGTCGCGTGCTGTCTCTATGGCTCTCAGCGTCAAAAACAAATTAGGGTTTGTTGATGGTACTCTGTCTGCTCCTAACTCTACTCAGAATTCTAATCTCTATATGTCTTGGGTTAGGGCTAACAGTCTTGTGTTGTCGTGGCTTCTGAATTCTGTGAACAAGGATATTAGACAGTCTCTATTGTTTTTTACGATTACTCATGATGTTTGGGAAGAATCGAAATCTCGATATGCTCTGTCTAGTGGTCCTAGGGTTTTTTATCTTGAGAAATCTCTTAGTACTATAGATCAGGGTACTTTGTCTGTTACTCAGTACTACAGCAATTTCAAATCTCTTTGGGATGAATATGTCACTTATCGCCCTATTTTCAAATGTGTTTGTGGTGCTTGTGCTGATTGTACATGTAAAATCTTTGAAGCCATGGCTACTGCTCAAAATCATGATTTCGTTATGAAGTTCCTGATAGGCCTGAATGAATCTTATTCATCTCTGAGGAGTCACTTCCTATTATCTAATCCTTTACCCTCACTTGCTACTGTATACTCTCTTCTCCTTCAAGAGGAAAGTCAGAGATCTTTATCCAACACCACCAAATCTTCTGATTCACTCTATGCTAGCCAAAACAAACAAACCAACATATTCCTTCTCAAAAAAAACCCCTACATACAAACCACCGAACTCTTTCACAAACAAACTCATTCCACTGACAGACCCAAACCAAAATGCAGTCACTGTGGTTACCTTGGCCACAATGTTGGTAGATGTTACCAAATCATTGGATATCCTTCTAATTGGGTTGGTCCTCGTGGTCCTAGACCTTCTCCCAAACATTCTGCTCATGCTGTTATCACTGATTCTACTTCTCCTATTTCTGATAACACTAATGATGCATCTTCCATGACTGACCGTTTGTTTACTGAGTTTTTAGCCTTTAAAAAATCACAGGAGTTGACACAAAGTACTTCTAACACTCATGTGGTTGCCACTGCTTTTGCTGAGCCACCAAGTACATCTAAACCCACTCTATGTATGATTTCTCAAACTTTATAAAAAACTACATGGATTCTTGATACTGGTGCTACTGATCACATGATATCTGCTTCTGAATTTTTTACTTCACCTACTACATCTGTATCTGTTAAAATCACAATGCCTAATGGTAATCATGCTGTTGCATCTTAAATTGGACAAGTTCAACTTGCTAACTCTCTTGTCTTACATGATGCTTTATTTGTGCCATCTTTTGCATTCAATCTTATATCTGTATCAAAGTTGGCTGCCACAAATAATTGCATTGTCAAATTCCTGTCATCTTCTTGCATATTATAGGATCTGTCAAACCAGACAGTGATTGGTTCTGCTGAGCTTAAAAATGGTCTATACCATCTCTCTTTAGCTAATACTCATGCTTTACTAAGCACTGTTCATACTGATAAACATGTAACCCCTCAATTACCTGTAAACTCCAATTCCCTTGTAACCTATGATTCCTCTATATGGCATTATAGATTGGGACACTTATCTTACTCTAAACTTCAAACATTATCTCTTACATCTACTTGTAAACCTGCTTTTCCATGTGATGTGTGTCATTTCTCTAGACAGAAAAGATTACATTTTTCTGAAAGTACATCTACTTCTGAATGTCCATTTCATTTAATCCATTGTGATGTTTGGGGACCTTTCTCAGTACCATCTCATTCAAGACATAAATATTTTGTACCATTGTTGATGATTATAGTAGACTTACCTGGATTTATCCTGCTGTTTTAAAATCAGACATCAAACAACATCTCATACATTTTTACAACACGGTGTTAACTCAATTTGATAAGAAAATCAAAATTATCAGAACAAATAATGGTTCTGAGTTCTTTCTTAAACAATTTTACACTGACTTTGGCATTTTACATCAAACATCTTGTGTTGAAACTCCTCAACAAAATGCCAAAGTAGAGAGGAAACACCAGCATCTTTTACAAGTAGCAAGAGCCATTTTATTCCATGCTCATTTACCTTTAACATTCTGGATTGACTGTGTTCTTGCTGGTGCACACATAATAAATAGAATCCCCACCCCTGTTCTCAACCAGAAATCTCCTTTTGAAATGCTTTTTCAAAAACCTACTACATATGATCATTTGAAAGTGATTGGTTGTTTATGTTATTCTTCAACTTTGGTTGCCAACAGAAACAAATTTGATCCCAGGGCTTCTAAATGTATATTTCTTGGTTATCCCTTAGGTTGTAAAGGCTATAAACTTTACAACCTTAATACCAAGAAAACATTAATCTCCAGGAATGTTATTTTCTATGAAACATTATTTCTTTTCAAATCTCTCTCAGAAAATAACTCTCCTACCCATATGTTTCCACAACCTGATTCTTCCTTCATCTTTGACAACAATAGGTCCTCCACCAACCTATACCCCACATGTTGATAACTCTCTTTCTACTTCACCTATTCATACTTCCCCTCAAACCACAACTAACTCTAACTCTCCTACTAATACTGCTGTTATTCCTTTTTCTCCTAACAACACTCTTCAAAACAACTCTTCCCCATGCATATTCTCCTGTCAGAAGAAGATCACAAAGAGTATCCAAAATCCCTACTTATCTAGATGTTTACAAACATTCCTTACACTCTCATAATGCCTCTTGTTGCATAAATATTGTTTCTAATAGCATTTCTGGGACAACCCCTTATCCTATTTCTGATTTTCTATCTACTAGCCAAATATCTGATACTCATAGCTGTTTTACTGCAATGATTTTCACTGTTTCTGAACCCAAAACTTATAAACAAGCTGCTAAAGATCCTCTTTGGCAAGAGGCTATGGCCAAAGAGTTGAAAGCTTTAGAACAAAAAAACACATGGGTTCTTACTGATTTGCCAAAAGGAAAACATTGCATAGGCTGTAAATGGGTTTTCAAAGTTAAATATAAATCAGATGGTAGCATTGAAAGATATAAGGCTAGGTTAGTTGCTAAGGGGTATACCCAAGAAGAAGGGATTGATTTTTTTGATACTTTTTCCCCTGTAGCAAAAATCACAACTGTGAGATTTCTAGTTGCATTGGCATCAATTAATAACTAGCATATTCATCAATTGGATGTCAATAATGCATTCTTACATGGTGATTTAAATGAAGAAGTTTACATGTCTATTCCTCCTGGCTATTGTTCTGATTCTGAAACAAGAGTGTGCAGGTTAACCAAAAGTCTATATGGCTTAAAGCAAGCCTCTAGACAATGGTTTCACAAGCTTACCTCATGTTTAATTGCCTATGGTTTTTGTCAATCTATTGCTGACTGTTCCATGTTCTTTATGCATGATTCTGATACTTTCACTATCTTACTTGTCTATGTTGATGACATCATACTTGTTGGAAATAGTTTGTGCAAAATTACTGCTATTAAGTCCCATTTGGATAAATGCTTTACTATCAAGGACTTAGGCAAGCTTAAATATATTCTTGGTCTTGAATTTGCACATTTTGAAAAAGGCATTCACATGTGTCAAAGAAAATATGCATTGGATATATTAACTGATTGGGGTTTACTAGCATGAAAACCTTCTTCTACTCCAATGGATGCTTCTTTGAAACTTAGCAAAAATGACAATACACCTGTTCTTGAAAACCCTTCTGAATACAAAAGGCTTGTGGGTAAATTGAATTATCTGACCATAAGCAGACCTGATATTGCTTATTTTGTTCAATCTTTAAGTCAATTTATGTCTAACCCCACTCAACAACATCTTCAGTCAGCACAAAGAGTGCTCAGGTATGTCAAAGGTACACTTGGCCAAGGTATACTCTTTCCTAAAACCTCTACTTTAAATATCACAACATATTCAGATAGTGATTGGGCATCTTGCATTGACACGAGGAAAAGTGTAACTGGTTCTTTGATTTTCCTTGGTGATTCTTTGATATCTTGGAAGTCAAAGAAATAGCCTACTATAAGTAGGTCTTATGCTGAGGCAGAGTATAGAGCACTTGCCTATACAACTTGTGAAATCCAGTGTGTTATCATCCTACTCGGCAAGACACTATCAAGAGGTTTTAAGCATCTTGTTAAATGCGATTAACTGTTAAACCGACGTGAATCAGAACCGCACCAATCTACACAAAAGAACCGGTCTGAACCACCAAAGGCCGAAGTGGTCAACAACTACCGAGGTCAACGTCTTCCGAGATCAACGTGAACCGAGGACGTCACCTCCCTAAGCAGGTGACAAGGCGCCTACGTGTGACCCTCCAGCTCCACAAGATCCGTCATCATTTATGTGGGACCCCCTGCCTCAAACCGCCCACAAAAAGTAACTTTATTCGAAAAAGTCATGCACAGATCCCAATGTATCAACCCGAAATCACTATAAATAGCGGGCCTATAACATTTGTACGGGGATCTCTCTCCGAACTGAAAATACTTTACTAAGCAACACGAAAAAGCCCATCACGGCTCTTCACCTCGGTTCACCTCGGGCCGGGGCCATTGTTGAGTAAATCTTACATGCTTTACGTCCAAATAATTCCAAATTATCCACTTAATCTCACGTTACATCGTTGTTAAAAATCACATAACAACAGTTTGGCGCTAGAGGAAGGGCCTCATAAGTGATTTGAGGTGAATCTCCGCGTTTTCACATAACGGTGCATATCAGCCATATCCACCATGTCTCACTCAGATCATCGTGGTCACACGTCACGAGACGGCCACAGTCGTAGCGCCGGGCAATCCGCTAGACGGCAAACCGTGGCTCCACCTATACCGGATTATGCTGTTCTGTTTCAAAATCCGGAATTTGCACGTGGTTTTGCCGCTTTAATGGCCCAGACGATGCCGGGAACATCAATAACGGCTCCGGGACACTCCATCATTCCCACGACCCCCGCGAACCGACAGAACCAACCGGCACGACAAGACGGCGGAAGGACAACATCTCATGCTACATCTCAACCTCGTGATCGAATGTCACAACCGCCTCCGGAACAAAATACACGACGTACTGACGCCGGGCGT